ATAAAATAAAATAAAATAAAATAAAATAAAATAAAATAAAATAAAATAAAATAAAATAAATAAAATAAAATAAAATAAAATAAAATAAAATAAAATAAAATAAAATAAATAAAATAAAATAATAAAATAATAAAATAAAATCTTGCAGGAACCAGGAAGTGTGTGTCTTCCGTTGTGCTGCCTGTTCCTTGGAATCTCACTCTCACCACAGATGAGTTTGACCCCCACCATGCCAGACTTTCTCAAGGCTCTTAAGATGTGTTCTGGGACATGGGGGGGGGGGGAGGAGGACAATATCAGTTAAAACCCGTGAGATGGTTATTTTAATCCTTGTTTGATTTGTACCTTGGCTGTTGTGTGCGTTTGCGTTGCTGTTTGTCTTGTGGTGAGCAACTGATAGAAGCCAGCATTCACTGAGATGAACGGCTGTGTAAATGGAACAAACAGAATAGCAACTTTTATGGATATTTACTCCTCTGTAGTCTTACAATATAATGCATCATTTATTTCCTTATATTTTAGATATATTTTAGGTAACTATTGATAAATTCAGTTTTATACTACTGCTAATGAACAAGCCAGAAAGAATAAATTTCCAAGGATGCCCAGACTCTGATAGATTGATTTAATGTTGCAAACTTAAGGAAGCCTTAATGAAGAATTCCAGAAAAAGCTATAAAATGAAAATCAATGGTGGAAAAAAATGAAATTTAATGGTGAAAAAAAGGAAATTCAGTGGTGAAAAAAGTAAGATTCTACATTTAGGCAAGAAAAACCAAATGGACAGGTGTAGTATAGGTGGTACCTTGTTCAATAGTAGTAACTGTGAGAGGGATAATACCACTTTACAAGGCCTTGGTAAGGCCACACTTGGAATCCTGCATCCAGTTTTGGTTACCACGGTGTAAAAAATATGTTGAGACTCTAGAAAGAGTGCAGAGAAGAGCAACAAAGATGATCAGGGGACTGGAGGCTAAAACATACAAGGAACGGTTGCTGGAATTGGGTATGTCTAGTTTAATGAAAAGAAGGACGAAGGGGGACAGGATAGCAGCCTTCCAGTATCTCAGGGGCTGCCCCAAAGAAGAGGGAGTCAAGCTATTCTCCAACGCGCCTGAAGGCAGGACAAGAAGCAATGGATGGAAACTCATCAAGGAGAGAAGCAACCTGGAATTAAGGAGAAATTTCCTGACAGTGAGAACAATTAACCAGTGGAACAGCTTGCCTCCAGAAGTTGTGGGTGCTCCATCACTGGAGGCTTTTAAGAAGAGACTAGACAGCCACTTGTCTTAAATCAGGGGTCTTCAAACTTGGCCCTTTTATGACTTGTAGACTTCAACTCCCAGAAGTTGAAGTTGTTGTAATGTACTAATCAGTATTCAACTGGGGGGGGGGAATAATATTAGAATAGAATAGAGCTGGAAGGGCCCATGGAGGTCTTCTAGCCCAGCCCCCTGCTCAAGCAGGAGAACCTATACCATTTCAGACAAGTGATTGCCCAGTCACTTCTTAATATGTATATATGTTTTGGCTTTTTTTTTCCTTTTTAATGCACTTTTTTAATGTTTTGCTTCGTTGTGTTTTTCCCTTTGGTTTTTTTTTCCCTTTGTTTGTTTTTATTTCAAAGTTGGAGTTTTGTATTTTAACTTTTTTTTTCAAATCAAATAGAAATAGTACATCCTGGGAATCATCCAGTTCGTCATTTCTGGGGTGCTTGGAGCTGAAAATCCTTCCGGTGGGAATTTTGGGGTGTCACGGCCCCACGGTTGTAATCGGCAATCGGAGCAGCAGAACTTCGCTTGGCACTGCCAATGTTTTTCAGTTCCTCGTCGCCAACGGACGAGATCCGCCTTGCCCGGTCCTGCTTCTCCTAGCCCATCGTGGGAATCTCCTTGCATTTTCCCAAAAGTTTTGGGAAAGTTTCATTTGAGACAGCTGGGCAAGCAGGAAAAAGTCTCCTTCACCCGTATCAGAAGGGAATCCATCTGTTTGGCCCTGGGCCCCAGGTCTGCCCACGTCTGTTCGGGGCTGGGCAGCTCCTGTTTTCGGCCGGATGTCAGAAGTCCTCGGACAGCTTCGTGGTCATTGAAAGGGGTCCCTCGATGGCATTGCTGAAGCTTCCGGCGGATCTGGCAAGGAGACACAAGGCAACAGATGAGAGTTGGGGAAAATCCTGGCTAAAGGGTGGAACCGGGACTTTCTGATTTCTGTTTATAGAGTGCAAATTCCAAATCTGGCTTTAAGCAGCCCTTCCCAACACGTTTCTACCTCTGATTGCAGAGAACGGGACAGGCCTCGTTGGAGATTAGAGGTGGACTTCAACTCCCAGAATTCCCCAGCCAGCGTGATTTAAGGTGGGTGGATTTCAACTCCCAGAATTCCCCAGCCAGCAGGCTTTAAGATGGGTGGATTTCAACTCCCAGAATTCCCTAGCCAACGTAATTTAAGATGGGTGGTCTTCAACTCCCAGAATTCCCCAGCCAGCGTGATTTAAGGTGGGTGGTCTTCAACTCCCAGAATTCCCCACCCAACGTGATTTAAGGCGGGTGGACTTCAACTCCCAGAATCCCCCAGCCAGCGTGCTTTAAATGGGGTGGACTTCAATTCCCAGGCACTGGAAAAAGTGATTTAGGATCCTCGTGCGAACTCCTTTTGCGATCTTCTGACAAGCTGGATTCACTTAACAACCGTGTTAATACCTTATCGACTGCAGCGATTCGCTGAACGACGATGGTGGGAAAAGTTGTAAAATGGAGCGAAACCCGCTCCACCAATGTCTCGCTTAGCAACGGAAATTTTGGGCTCAATTGTGGGGGTTAATTCGAAACTACCTGTAACTCACACTTACGACCGTTGCAGCATCCTCCACAGTCACATGATCAAAATTCGGACGTGTGGCAACTGACTCGTATTTATGACGGTGGCAGTGTCCTGGGGGGGTGTCACTTGATCCCCTTTTTACGACCTTCCGACCGGCAATGGTCAACGGGGGAAGCCGGATTCACTTAACAACTGCATGATTCGCTTAACAACGGCATGATTTGCTTAACAACTGCATGATTCACAACCCGCCGCACAAATGGCAAAACGGAGTGATTCACTTTACAGGGGCATTGCTTAGCGACGGATGATCCCGTTGCCGTTGTCGCAAGTTGAGGACTGCCTGCGCCGTCGCAAGGCCGCAGATGGACCGTCTTATTCCTCACCTTCTGCACGGACCGGCTACGTCCGAACTCCTCCAGCTGCTGACGAAAACCCAGGTTGGGATTGGCCACGGGCCTCACGGCCTTGACCGCTTCGAGTGCCTCGAGCCAGCCCAGCGGCGTCACCGCCATGAGATAGGCCAGGATGATGGTGGTGCTGCGGGAGATCCCAGCTAGGCTGGAAGGGGTGATGAAGAACAGGATTAGAAACCAGAACCCTCTGGGCCACTCTCCCTCAGCTTCCGTGCACCCCGAAAGTCTATTGGTGGTCAGGAATATTTGCTAGGGGGTTCCCGCTTTCCATTGGTTGATGTTGGCTTTGTGTCATGTGTCAACTTGGTTATGTTGGTTTGTGAATCACGGTTTATGGGTTAGTGGAAAGAATGAACCCAGCCATGGGGATTACAGTTTTAATATTAAGTGTGAACATGGCTACTTTAGTTCATAAATCATGGCTTATACCAGGGGTAGGCAACCTTGGCCCCCTCATGACTCGTGGACTTCAACTCCCAGAATTCTTCAGCCAGCATGTGGGAACTATGGCCCCCTCATGACTTGTGGACTTCAACTCCCAGAATTCCTCAACCAGCATGGGGGCACTATGGCCCCCTCATGGCTTGTGGACTTCAACTCCCAGAATTCCTGAGCCAGCCACGCTGAGGAGAAAGGGAGAGGTTTCCAAGCTGAGCCATGATGGCTCAGGAATTCTGGGAGTTGAAGTCCACCAGTCATAAAAGAGCCAAGTTTGAAGACCCCTAGTTTAAATATTTAAATATTTTTCCTCACGGTCACGTGATCAAAATTCAGGCATTTGGCCTTTTACCTTAGTAGCCAGTGTGTGAACACAGCATTCTGGATTATGGTTAGTGTCAAGTGTGTATATGGCCACCTTGGCTTACATATCATGGTTTATAGCTTAGCATAAAGTCTAAACCCACCCACCTAGATTATGGTTTAGTGATGACATGCACTTTGGTATGTAAATCATTCTTAGTACAAAGAATTAGGCCAACCATCTTGGTTTGTAAATCATGGCTTATTGGTTAATGTGCACCCAACAGTATGGATTATGGATTATGACCTATTATTAAGTGTGAACA